CTTCTTCATAAACTCTTTGCCTAGGCCGATGTCAAAGAGTAGATAGCTATATGAGGATGGTTTTATATCAGGATTCTCCGAGTAGCTGGGACTACAGGCATGCGCCACCATGCCCGGCTAATTTTTTGTATATATATTAGTTGGCCAATTAATTTCTTTCTATTTATAGTGGAGACAGGGTCTCGCTCTTTCTCAGGCTGGTTTTGAACTCCTGACCTCGAGCAACCCGCCCGCCTCGGCCTCCCAGAGAGCTAGGATTACAGGCGTGAGCCACCGTGCCCAGCCAAGCTACACATGGAAAGGCATTTTAATTACATACAGATTTATGACTATCATTATTAAATATATATTTATATTATTTATACTTATCTAATGCATTGTATTCTTTCTCTCATTCTTAAAATATTTGAAACTCACTGTGATATTAAGGAATCTCTGTTGTCCAGACTACTCTTTAGACTCATCTTCATGTTCAAGTTGCCTATAGATTTAAAAATAAAAATAAAATTATGTTTTCTTCAAGATACATCTACAAACCTGTATATTATCTATCCATATTGAAACATTTTTGAATTCCTACCTGAGGTCTGGGTACAGTCATTATTTGAGACCACCCTCCCACTGAGAACATTAAGATTAATAACACATATCTTTGCGTCCCCAAATATGAGGACAAGCACCATATATATATTTACCTGAGAGTAAACTCGATCATTTTTATATTCATAATATTATTGGTTAAATATCTGTTTGCCATTCATCTTTAGCCCTACTTGTTTCTATTATTTATATGAGCTACTTTTTCCCCAAAGATATTTGGTCTGGGTTTTTCAAAAACAGCTATCCAATATAAGAAAATTACTTTAATATATTTAATTATTGACTGAATTACAACTATTGTATGTGCTGCATATTATTTTATCAATTTCACATCCTTTCACAACATTTCTATAAATTATATTCCCTTTTCATTTATATTGTCTTATTAATTTAAGTATTTTAATGAAATTTAATTCATTTTAAGCAAAATGAGGAGGTGGCAGATATAAATATCAAAGGCAGAAATTATTTTATAGCAATTTACCTGGAGAGAAGTAAACCAATTTTAATATTTACTTTTGTTCTTGTAGCATATTTATAGATATTTCTATTTGATAATGAAAACTATTGGCTTTAGTTTTTCTGTAGATTAGCCATGGCTATAATCTAGATTTTTTAATCTCCTCTACCTCTGACTGCCTGTGTCTCAATCTATGGCTAAACTACTTTCCTGGATTTTTCCATTACCCTTTATTAAAACATCATAAAAATTCCTTAAAATACGTACAGAATTCCACTAGATGGGACTTAAAAAAAAATACGTACAGATTAAGGTAGTAATGTTTAATCCATATTTAATAATTAAAATCAAATAATAAAAGATGGTAGATAAACTTTAACTAGAATTTAACTAGAAATTTAACTAGAATTTAACTAGAAATTCTTTCCATTTAATTTTGCTCCTAAAGGAGTCCAAGTTCTTATAAGATTGAAATTGCTGGCCTTTTACAAAATTCTGTTCATTATTTATTATATTAATCATTTAGTATATTGATTACTAAATTCCCATATAAAGCCAAAACTTAAATTTGGATTATTAATAGTTACATCTACCATGATGCTATTTGTTGAGTTTGCTACACAAATAAACTATAAAAGTAATAAATCTTAAATATGAAATCAATATACTCATCGCTTGCATAGTCCTCAGTTTTCCATTTTTTTCTTTGGTAACGAACTTTTACCAGCATGGCAATCAGTACACAGAGAATAATGAAAAAAGGAATGAGTAAGAAAAATGGCCATCGCGTAGGTTTTTGATGGTAACCGCTCTCTATGTAGCGTCCTTCTAGGAGAGAAAAACAGCAGTGTTTTGAGAGCAGTCACCAAGAACATAGTGAAGATATTTCTATGTTTTACTAAGAATATTAGAATAGAATCTTTAAATGGTTTAATAATTTTATAATTAACATATTTTTATAGAGAGTAGACAAGCTGACAGCATAAGTGCCCAAAGAGACTCTTCTAACTCTGAGATAATAGTCCTACCTATTGCAGTTGTATTGAGAAACTTCTATTCCTGATAGTCTCTTTTCAAGACTATCTGACAATATAGATGAAAAGAATTAAAGTGTGCCCCATATAAGAATGAAGCTTTTCCTCAATACTCTTATTTTTAGTAAGAAATACTGTACAAACAATAACATTTTTATTAGTTCCGAATTTTCTTGTCACTTAATGCATTGATATGTGTTTTCATGTCTGTTTGGTCTTGTGAATATCTGGTTGCATCAGTATAATGTTTCTGTTTTTTGTTTTTTAATTTTTTTTTATTTCAGCATATTACAGGGGTACAAATGTTTAGGTTACATAGATTGCCCTTGCCCCACCCAAGTCAGAGCTTCAAGCGTGTCCATCCCCCAGACAGTGTGCACTACACCCATAGGTGTGTACATATCCATCCCCTCCCCCCCATCTACCCGACACCCGATGAATGTTATTACTATATGTGCACATGTGTGTTGATCAGTTAATACCAATTTGATAGTGAGTACAGTGTTTTCAATTGACCTTCCTTCCCCACTGAACTATCTTTGTACATTTATTGAAAAATTGATTAACCAAATTTTAATGAGCATATTTTTAAACTCCCTGCTCCATTCTATTGATATATTTATGTATCTATCCTTTATCAATGCTATGCTGTTTTGATTCATGTAACTATATACCCTATACTATATTTAAAACTAGTTAATCAATATAAGGCAAATAGACTGAGTCATCTTTCTTCATTGACCTTTTTCAGGGCTGTTTGGTTCTTCAAAGCACTTTTGTGTGCATTTTAGAGTCAAAGTGTTAATTTCTAAAAAGTTTATGCTATTATGACTTGTATTTTTTAACCTATAGATTTAAATTATAGATTTAATTATTATTTATATAGTTATAATATAGAATTGATATCTTGGTAATAATGAGACTTCTAATATTAACATGAAATATTAGTGAACATGAAATATTTCTATATTTATTTGGATGCCTAGCATCTATCTGCACTTTTTTTTAGTTTACAATATAAAGATCCTGCACATCTTTCATTAAATTTGTTCCTAATATCTTACATTTTGAGAGTATTATAGATAGTATTAATTTTTATTTTTAATTATTCTGGCTACATATTTGTTTGCATTTATGGTGTATATGTGATATTTTCATATAAGCATAGAATGTGTAATGATGAAATCAGGGTGATTGGGATATCCATCACCTCAAGTATTTATCATTTCTTTGTGTTAGGAACATTCTAATTCCACTCTTTTGGTTATTTAAAAATATACAATAAATTATTAACTGTAGTTGCCATATTTTGTTCCCAAACACTAGATCTTATCCCTTCTATCTACCTATATTTTTGTACACATCAACCACCCTTTCGTTATCCCCCACATTTCACTACCATTGCCAACCATAATTCTACTCTCTACTCCATTAATTCATTTTATTTTTTAGTGAGAACATGTGATATTTGTCTTTCAGTGCCTGGCTTATTTCACTTAACATAATGCCCTCTGTTCCATCTATATTGTTGCAAGTAACAGAATTTCATTTTTTATGGGTGAATAATATTTCATTATATGTATATATATATATATATATATATATATATATATCACATTTTCTTTATCCTTTCATAAGTTGATGGACACTTATGTTGATGCCTTATCTTGGCTACTGTGAACAGTGCTGCAATAACCATGGGAGTGCAGGTATCTTGTTGATATACTGACTTCCTTTCTGTTGGATAAATTATAGCAGTGGAATTGCTGGGTCATATGGCAGCTCTATTTTCAGTTGTCCAAGGAGCCTCCATAACGTTCTCCGTGGTGGTTGTACTAACTGACATTCCCACCAGAAGTGGGAATGTAATCTCCATATCCTGGGCGGCCTTGGTTATGACCTGTCTTTTGGATAAAAGCCATTTTAACTGGGTTGAGGTGATATCTCATTGTACTTTTGATTTGGATTTCTCTGATGAGTAATGATGTGGAGTATTTTTTTTTTTTCATATACCCTATTGGCCGCTTGTATGCCTTCTTTTGAGAAATGTCTATTCAGATCTTTTGCCACTTTAAAATTGGATTATTTTCCCCCTACTGAGTTGTTTGAGCTCCTTATATAATGGCCATTAATCCCTTCCCAGGTGGGTGGCGTGTGAATATTCTCTCCCCTCCTGTGGATTGTCTGTTCACTTTGCTAGCATTCCCTTTACTGCACACAAGCTTTCTGCAGTGTCTGAGCCTGTGCTATTATTAGTGTGCCCACCTACTGAATTTAGTAGACTTACCGTTTGAAAGTTTTTATGAGATATTTCTATGAAATACTTAGTACAGATGAAGGGGGCTATAAGGGAAGTCAACTTAAAGTTATTCTGAGATTTCAAGTCAGGGATTTACAGTCAAAGGTTTGATTTTATCTGAGATAAAATTTTATTGCTCAGAATCTCAAATCTGGCCTTTTGCCATATCTTACTTTAAGGAAGAGACCAGAAATGAGAATTAGTCTGATTTATAAACCAAAAAATATTTTAAATTAATGTATTATTTTTTATATATTTTAAATATTTTTATTATTAATTTTTATTTTTTTATTTTATTATTAATTTTTAATTTTTTTATTATTAATTTTAAAAATTTTTAATTTTTTTATATTTTGTCATTATTAATTTTTTTAAAAGCTATGCTTTTTTATATTTGCTTACTTCTAACCAACGGGAAACATGGGTTCTATTTTACACGTGACCAAAGGCAGCAATGACTCCAGACGATTTAATGCCTCATAATAATCATTCCTCTTTTTCCAGCATTGAAAACCATGCTTTAAAATGTTCTTGAGTTGCTCACTGGCAGTCTTCCCGAGACAATTTCAGCACGTACTAACAGCCTTCCCCAGTCTCCAGAAAGCCTTTCTGCCCTGCATACACTGTCCAATTCCAAAGATTAGATTCTTGTGATAGAAACACGTAACACTGGCTACTAAAATGTCTTCTATTGAATGCTGCTGCTTGAGAAACTACCTCAAAGGTTAGAAACTTAAAACAGTCATTCAATTCTCCTCACACTTTTGTTGGTCATACATTTGGGAGGGGGGGTTCTTAGTTGGGTGGTCGTATTTCTGTGTCTCCATGCAGTCAAATTTCACACATTGCAGATGATTTTCAACAGAATGAGTGTTCTAGGAATAAGAGTTCCAAGAATAAGTATTCCAAAACATCTAGTCGGAATCTGCAGGAATAGCACGGGAATCCTAGCATGTCAGTTGTGCACATTTTATTGATCAATCATACCACCCAGGCCAATCTGGATGCTGGAAAGGGAGCCGTTGTTGCCACTGCTTGTTATGGAAATGGCATGTGTGTGCCTGACCAGAACCAGTTAATTGCAGCCAATGTGGAGATAATCTAATTGTCACTACTACAAAGGTAATAGCTTGAAAACACATTAAATTTATTATGATGTTTTAAACTTACTAATCGACTACTATCTGGCATTAAAATAATATTTTCAAACTCTGGAATGAATGTATTTCATTCCTGACTCAAAATCTGGAAAAAAAAAATGGCTCTAATTATCTGTAAATGTAAGTTGTTATATAAAGGGAATCTCCTGGTCTTAGACATTATTGCAATGGCTGGCTAACTGCTGGCTTTCTCTAAAATCCATCTCTAAAATCCTTTCCTTTGCATTGCACAATATTGTAGGAATGCATTTCCCAAGCACCTTGACCTGCTGTCTTCTGATTAAGTTCAGTCGATGGGATTCACTGGGTATAATTTGGAGGGTCAGGCGAGTGAAATAGCTACGGTGTTTGGTATGGTGTGGTCCTTCCTTTGCAGCTTCTCCAACAGTGGCTGTATTCTTTATCCCTTTGGCTCACTCTGTGGTCCAAATCCTGCCACACAGCCCTTAGTTATATGTCATGCTAGACAGCCCAGATTCTGGTTTTAGTAATACCACCTCTTTTTGCTGTCCCTCTAGTCCTAAACAGTGGTAGTAATTTCCTGTTATTGCTAATATCTTGGTTGCCACATCATTCTCTGATTGGCTTTTCATATTTGCTATTAAGTGTAACCAGATGCCTTATATTGAATTCTTTCTGTTTGAAAGACCAAAGTTATTTCTGTTTTTATGCCTGGGTTCTGACTGATGTATCTAATTTATAATGTTACATATGCTATAATATATTACTTTCTGAAAGTAAAACAAATATCCATGTGTGGTTTATGATTTGATCTCCAAATGTCCAAAACAATCTAGCTATAAATTGGTAGCTATCATATTATTTATTAAATCTAATAAATTTGAATTATGTTTGAATTATATTTTTTGTATTTGCTATTAATATTTACCACGGACAGAGGGTGCTGCTGCAGGTGGATAATTGCCACTGTCAACACTCCCACCAGGCCATGAAGCGTCTTCCGTTTGGCAGTTTGGAGGTAAGAATCCAGCATTACAGTGACAGTTCTTTTTGTTATTGCATACCTGAAAGCAGCAGAAACATGGCCTTATAAGATAAGCAGCTAGAATTATATGTGTACAAGTAGAATTATAAAATGTTATGTAGATCACACAAAGCTGTTTTTCCTATGTGGTTTGTGTGTGTGTGTGTGTGTGTGTGTGTGTGTGTGTAGCAGTGCATTAGCTTTTGTGGCATTAGTCTCAGTGATTTTTATTCTCACCTCTCAGTACTGGTACTTACACCATGATTGCTGCATTTTTGTGCAGTGCAGTCATAATCCAAGAATGAAGAATCCACACAAACCTTATTGTTGCAAACCTAAAAAGGATAAGCCGAAATAAGTTAACCAATAGGCCATCTGGGTTTGCCATTTGGTTAAAAGCATTCCATACTATACCAATGCACAAGGTATTCGTGTAACAATAAATATCACTGTATAACAATGAATGATTAATTTATAGTGCTACTATGTTTCCAGCATTAGGTGAGACTCTGATCATCTGGGAGTAAAGAAAACAATAATAGCTACTTCTCTGGTTATTACCCTGGGAGAGGAAAGACAGATATGAAATAAGTAAAACAATATTTTGGCAATATTTGGCAATATTTCTTTGGGTGTTTGTTTGTTTGTTTGTTTGTTTGAAACAGAGTCTCACTTTGTTGCCTGGGCTAGAGCACCGTGGCATCAGCCTAGCTCACAGCAACCTCAAACTCCTGGGCTCAAGCCATCCTCCTGCCTCAGCCTCATGAGTAGCTGGGACTACAGGCATGCGCCACCATGCCCGGCTAATTTTTTTTATACATATTTTTATTGTCCACCTAATTTCTTTCTATTTTTAGTAGAGACAGGGTCTTGCTCTTGCTCACGCTGGTCTTGAACTCCTGAGCTCAAACGATCTGGCCGCCTCGGCCTCCCAGAGTGCTAGGATGACAGGCGCACACCCGGCTCAAATTCTGTTTCTTAATTCTCAAGAGTGAGGCTCAATAAAACTCACCTTTCCTTTAGAATCCCCAATCTTTTTTCAAGAAGACTGGGGTGGCGGGGAATCTGCTTAAGTGTGCAGCCCCCATACCACGTGATTCTTAGGCTGTCCAACATTTGAGAACAACTGGCCTAATGTCACCAGGTACCAAATGGTCATGTTCAGGGGTTTCTGGCATTAACATTCTCATAGTTTTCTTGCCCAATGGTTGTTCCAGTTCTGAAGTTTCATGTAACTTTCCACCGCACACCACTCCCAACAGCAGTTGGTACACTTATCCTGATGATGCTTGTGACTCTTAGTGGGAGCAACTTCCAGCACTGAGGACCTTTTTCTTCAAAAAAAAAAAAAAGGACGGAAGAGATGGTCCAATTGGGTAATGAAGGTACCTACCTCAGCCATTGAATTCACTTCGCTGGCCTGGCAATATTTCTTTGGATTTTTTTTTTCCTCTTAAAATATAAGAACATAATGTAATTTTTAAAGTCAAAGAGTTAATCTGCCCACATAGTTTTGCTAATATTACTGAGTATGGAAAAGTTACATTATTAATTGTGCAGATAATTATGGCAACACATACTTCTGTTTAATATTATAGAGAAATAGTCTAGTAGTAAATAGAGGGCCAGATTATTTTGGGTGGCTATAGTAGTAGTTTAAAAGTTCTAGCTCTGGATGTAGAATAGTACTGCTACAGCTAGAAATGTATCTGCTGTTAGAATGATGCCTTGACACCTACTTAAAACTTAGGCAGAAGCCGGGCGCGGTGGCTCACGCCTGTAATCCTAGCACTCTGGGAGGCTGAGGCGGGCGGATTGCTCGAGGTCAGGAGTTCAAAACCAGCCTGAGCAAGAGCGAGACCCCGTCTCTACTATAAATAGAAAGAAATTAATTGGCCAACTAAATATATATATAAATTAGCCGGGCATGGTGGCTCATGCCTGTAGTCCCAGCTACTCGGGAGGCTGAGGCAGGAGGATCGCTTGAGCCCAGGAGTTTGAGGTTGCTGTGAGCTAGGCTGATGCCATGGCACTCACTCTAGCCTGGGCAACAACGGAGACTCTGTCTCAAAAAAAAAAAAAAAAAAAAAAAAAAAAAAAACTTAGCAGAGAAATCAGATACATAATTTGCAGAGCTATTGTTCAGAAGAAAAGATAAACCTAAGTATCAGAATCATTAAATAAAGTATTTGGACCATAGAAGACAGAAGTTAGAAGAGAGTTCTTGGTATTACTGGCATCCTTTTACTGCAATGGAGTTTCTGTTTTGTTTTGTTTTAACATTCCTAGGGCAGAGTTCTTATTTCAGTTGCATCTTGCAGGAAGGGTAGGGAAAAATGCTATGCCATCCAAAATAATAAGTTAACTACAAAGCCATTCAGGTTATTTATTACCACATAAGTGTAATATTATATTTAGAAAAGGCAATGGTTCTTCACCAAACTATTTTTTTTTAATTCAGAATATACAGTGGTACAAATACTTTGGCTAAATATATTGCCTTTCCCCACCCAAGCTGGAGCTACAAGCTTGCCCAACCCGCAGACATCATGCACCATACCCATTAGGTGTGAGTTTACCCATCCCTGCCTTCCCTGCCACCTACCCAACACCCTATGAATGTTATTTCCCATATGTGCACATTAGTGGTGACTGATTAATACCAATTTAATGGTGAGTACATGTGGTGCTTGTTTTTCCATTCTTGTGATACATCACTTAGAAGAATGGGCTCCAGCTCCATTCAGGATAATACAAGAGGTTCACCATTTTTTTTTAATGGCTGAGTAGTACTCCATGGTACACCTATACTACATTTTATAATCCACTCATGTATGTATGGATACTTAGGTAATCTGGTATTGGTACAAAAATAGGAATATTGACCAGTGGAACAGATCGGAGAATCCTGATATAAAACCATCCTCATATAGCTATCTACTCTTTGACATCGGCCTAGGCAAAGAGTTTATGAAGAAGTCCCCAAAGGCAATCACAGCAGCAACAAAAATAAATAAATGAGACATGATGAAACTAAAAAGCTTCTGCACAGCCAAAGAAACAGTCATGAAAATAAACAGACAGCCTACAGAATGGGAGAAAATTTGCATTCTACCCACCTGATAAGGGGCTGATAACTAGAATATACTTAGAACTCACAAATCAGCAAGAAAAATCAAATAACCCTATTAAAAAGGGGCAAAGGACTTGAACAGAAACTTTCTAAAGAAGACAGAAGAATGGCCAACAGACATATGAAAAAATGCTCAACATCTCTAATCATCAGGGAAATGCAAATCAAAACCACAATGAGATATCACTTAACTCCAGTGAGAATGGCCTTTATCAAAGAGTCTCCAAATAACAAACGCTGGCATGGATGCAGAGAGAGAGGAACACTCCTACACTGCTGGTGGGACTGCAAACTAGTTCAACCTCTGTGGAAAGCAATATGGAGATACCTTAAAGTAATCTACCATTTGATCCAGCAATCCCATTGCTAGCATCTACCCAAAAGATCCAATGAACACTCTAACAAAAAAGACACCTGCACTCGAATGTTTATAGCAGCACATATTCATAATTGCAAGGCTGTGGAAACACCAAGTGCCCATCAATCCAAGAATGGATTAATAAAATGTGGTATATGTATACCATGGAGTACTATTCAGCTCTAAGAAACAACGGTGATATAGCACATCTTATATTTCCTGTTAGAGCTGGAACCCATACTACTAAGTGAAGTATCCAAGAATGGAAAACAAGCACCACATATACTCGCCAGCAAACTGTTATTAACTGAGCAGCACCTAAGGGGACACATAGGTACTACAGTAATAGGGTATTGAGCAGGGGAGAGGGGGGCAGGTATATACATACATAATGAGTGAGATGTGCACCATCTGGGGGACAGTCATGCTGGAAGCCAGACTTGTGGGGGGAGGGGGAAAGGGCATTTATTGAAACCTTAAAACTGTACCCCCATAATATGCCAAAATAAAAAATAAATAAATTAAAAATAAACAAATTAACCAGTATTTAGGGAATAAAAAAAAAAGCCATACACAAACCCAGAAAGATGCATGATCAGAAAGGACCTGAGAAGACCCTAAGCTTTCTTTGCAAGCTGACTCCAAGACTCAGGGAATATCCAAGAAATTACTAAAGAACTTCCCCAGAGCAGAGGCAGCCTACAAATACCAGGCAAGGTGTCAGTTTTTTTTCAAATGCTCTGTTTTCAACAAACCCTGAAAACACTATGCTAAGTGAAAGAAGCCAGAATCAAAACGACAGATCTTCTGTGGTTCTACTTATGAATAAATTCAGAGAAAATTAATAAAAAATCATGGAAGGTATAATAGTGGTTAGCAGAGGCGTGAGAAAGGATCATTGGGAGTTATTTTTTTTAATGGATAGAGAGTTTCAGTTTGTGATAATGCAAAGTTTCTAGAGATGGAGAGTGGTGATGGTTGCACAATAATGTGAAGGTATTAATGTCCCTGAACTATACACTTAAAAATGATTAAAGTAATAAATTTTAAATTGTGTATATTTACAACAACAAAAATAGTCCATATATCATATTCAGTGCTTTACAGGCTAGGATAATAGGTAAAATGACCAAACTCGTGTTATGAGACTAGTACATATTGTTATCCACATCAGCCAAGGATATGTTAAAAAATAGAGTATTGATTTATGTAGTATATGATAAAAACATAGTCTGAATGCATTCATTTTCCCCATGATTAGGATAAAACAGGACATTTATTTAATCCACACAATAAAGGGATTAGCAGAACAGAGAGCCCATATATAAACCCAAACATGTATGGTCAACTAATTTTGGGTGAGGCCACCAAGAGGACAGAATCAGGAAAGGACAGTGGCTTCAATAAATGGTGTTGGGAAAACTATCCACATGCAAAAGAATCAAACTAGACCTTTATCTTTGACACAAAAATAAACTCAAACTTCATACACAAAAATAAACTCAAAATAGATTAAAGACCTAAACGTAAGAACTGAAACTGTAAAACTCCTAGAAGAAAACAAAGGGAGAAAGCTCCTCTGTATTGGCCTCACCATGAATTTTTCGATATCACTGAAAGCACAGGCAACAAAAGCAAAAATAAGAAAGTGGTACTATGTCAAACTAAAGAGTTCCTGTACAGCAAAGGAAACACCAATGCAAGGAAAAGCCAGCCTATGGGCTGGGAGAAAATATTTGCAAACCACATATCTGAAAAGGGGGTAACATCCAAAATATATAAACAAGTCATAAAACTCCATGGCAAAAATAAAACCTGATTAATAAATGGGCAAAGGACATGAA